GTATATGTATATATGTATATATGTATATGTATATATGTATATGTATATATGTATATATGTATATATGTATATATGTATATATGTATATATACATATACATATATACATATATACATATACATATATACATATATATACATATATACATATATATATATATATATGTATATATTCTATCTCCTTCCCTTTTCTCTGTTTCTGCATAGTGAATTTGTTATGCTCTTCACATCTTAATGATCTTTGAGATCTTTGACTTCGACTGCATGCTTCCACTGGCTACATGCCATGCTTAAATTGGATGCAGTTGGGATGAATTGGTGCCTACAGAACAAATTAATCTAACTTGAACACCAGTTTCTTAACTAAAGAATAACAAAGATGTGTTGGTTCTTCTTTTACTCCGTAAATTTCATTTTATCCTTGAGTTCCATGCGTAAATCTTATATTGATTATCCACTGTAGAATTTTGTCACCTTATTATGGCCATTGTCACTGGTTAACCTTGCTATATATGTAAGTGAGCACACAACCTGAAGTGACGCAGATGATAAACACAGCCTAAAGTTTTGTAAAAACTGACTTTACTTTTCATGGAATATCCTTTTCCTGTTTTCCTTGGAGGTAGAACTCAATCTAGTATTATTTTTCTGAGGCAAGGCCAGGGCTCATTCTGTTGTGCTAAAGGTACAAGTAATTGTTAGACATGATTCTGCATCTGCTTAGCTAGGTTCTACTTATACCTTTAAGTATAAATCTCAAACTCATTAATGACCAAGCAGCTGAATCCATCATCATTTCATGTGGAAGTCTTGTGATTTTGCTAACTACCAACTACCAAGTGATAGATAGTTCCTTTAATTGTTGAGTTTATGTATTTATTCAAAATTCATGAAAAACATTGGGATTACGTGTTTCAGATAATTGTCAGACAGATATGTTGAGTTCAAGGTAAGGACCAAACTCTCATGTCCTGGCATGTCATATGCGTATGAGTTAGTTGTTAGCTTGGTTGACATACTTATGTTGCCTTGTGGTAGATAAAATATTGTGCCTCATTTGCAAAATAGAAAAATGGTGCAAAAGATGTCTAAGTTCTGTCTTATCTTTATAGGAGTAGAGACCAACTGTCTTGTGTTTTTGATTTATAATCTTGAAAAGGATGATAAAGACTACATTTTGGAAGATATGTGACATACAACTGAACTACATGTTTACAACCTACTGGCAAGAGATATATTTTGTGCTGTATGAATTACCTTAAACTGAGGTTCAAATTATAATCGATCCATTTCTTGTCTGTCAGTATTTCTTGGGCCTTGATAAAAGCCTTCTATGGAACTTTTGGATTTGTTATATTTGAGCTGAATGCCTCATTCAAATTTACCCCTTTGATGCTTACCTCTAAGCAGAATATTTCAATGGCATGTCTATGCAGTTTGGCTGCACTGTATCAAATACTTGAGTTTTTAGAGAAGCCCTAATCACTGACATTTTTTCATTCTCTATTTTGTTTAAGCTAGCTGTTTTTGTTCACTCTATGGTTTAGACATTGAAATCTGTTATATTTGTCAGATTTTGTTGTTGAGATCAAGGTTCCTGATTGTGGGGCACCTGAATTAGTTATAAATGGCTAGGAAATGCTGGGGAAATTTTACAGTAACCTGAATGGGGTTTAAATTTCACTGTAGAATGTAGATGATGGAAATACTTGAAATGCTATATTCAGCCAATTACTGAGCCATATTTGATATAATTAAATTTGTTGTTTGCTCATGTTTGAGCATACATTTTCTGTTGTGGATGCATCTGGTTCATTGAATTTTTGTTTTAATTGTCAGCCAGTTGTTCAAAAAACATCCTATAAGAAGAAAAGATCAATAAATAATACAGATGTAGTAAAATTTTCAGATTCCTTGTCTCAAATGATTTCTGCCAATCTAAGGAATCACATAATTACTATCTAGAATGAACAATGGATGCTAAAATTGTGAAATAATGTGAATAAGAGATCAGTCCATCAAGATGGGTTTGTGACAATGATGGCGCTTCCTGTTCATTGTCCTCGTCATCACAAAATTATGTGGTTTGTTGCCATATGAAGGACTAGATTGTTAGAATCTGAAATTTCGTATGCAAGATGTTTGGATCAGGGAACTCTATTTTATCCAATGTACCAGGTGATATTTATTGAACCAGGACACTGACTGCTCATTTTTAGACAGTCCAGTTGCAGTACAGGGCTTACTGTCTAGTACTCCTCTCCTCCTCTTCTTCTTGACTGCTGCACCTCTTGTTATCCTTCTCTTCTCTTCTCCTCCTTTTCCTACTCCTCTTCATCTTCTTCTTCTCCTTCTCCTCTCCCATTCATGTGTTGGTTTTGCCGGCACAGCATGGACTGGATCTGTGCTGGTGTGGCCATGGACTAGAATGGAGTTGGTAACCAAAATGTCAAACCATGGTTCAAATTATGTTGCTGCTTTCTGTATGCAAAGTTGCAATGATGAAATTTCATAGAAGACATCCAAATACATCTTCTTTCAGGCATCATTTGTTTGCTAAATTTAGCATCTGATTCACGTGGAGTTTGTACACTAGTTTTGAAGGTTTCATTTATTGCTTATTGTAAGATCCTTGATTTCTGTGTTTCAGGCATCATCAGGTCATTATTCTATAGGCTTGAAGATGCTCAATCAGCTTGTATCTGAGATGAACCAGGTTAGTCTTACCTTTGCAATTTAAAATCTTTATTTATATCCTTATTATATGTTAATCATACTACTAGAAGTTCAGAAGTCTTACCATTTAATCCTTATTGTATGTAATTTCTATCCTGCAAATTCTGTTATCTTATATTTTTTTAGTGGAAATTGTACGGCCTGATAAAATCAGAAGGGTTCCTTTTATGATCATGCCTGAATTTTTTGACTACTTCAGTGGTTACAGTTGCTAATCAGGCAATGACCTTCCTAGATCACGTTATATTAAATTTCTTTCTTTCTGTGTGTTTTTGCTTTACTATTCTTTCTGTCATAGCTTCAAGCCATGATACCTTTTAGTGCACACATCTTTTATACTGCTTTTTTACCTCACTTTTCATGGTGATCAAACTATAAAATATAGTACAGAAGCAATGTTTAAAACTGGGTGTGCCAAAGAACGCTTTAGCTCATGATAAGTTTAAAATGTGTGAATAATGGAAAATGTAAATGCATGTTTGCTATATAGTAGACAATTGCATTGGTTATGGCAACTACAAAATTGTCTTCATTTGCCCTTGATATAATGAGCACAAATTATGTTGACTACTTTAGATTTGTCAAATAGAAAATTAGAAGATAAAACCTCAAAGAAATGTTCTCATGAACATTTGCCTTTTGATCTAGCTCAAACATTAATGTACTAGATTAAAATAGTTGTAGTCCAAATGATCTTGAGGTTCACTCAATCAAAACACTAAATCTCACTCTGTACCAGTGATTTAAATGGGCGCTCGGGATCTTGAGGTTCACTCAATCAAAACACTAAATCTCACTCTGTACCAGTGATTTAAATGGGCGCTCGGGCGCTCGCCTAAGTGTTCGGGCAAGGCTAGGCGAGGCGAGGTTCGAGCGCCCCAACAGTGAACCAAGTGACGCGCTTCAATGAGGCGCCGCCTAGGCGCTCACTCGAACTCAGGCATCAGGTGCCTTGGGCGAGTGCCCGGTTCAAACAGTTGAATCGAACCAGACTTTTAAGTCTGGTTTGATTCAACAATTGCTAGTTGGTTCGATTGAACCAACTAACCACTTCTTACCTGCAAAAGCCACCCCCGTATGCCCGTGTGACCTCGAGCGATCAACCCTAGCGAGCGCTCCTGCCTCTGCCGCTGACGCTTTCTATCGCTACCTCTGCCGTAGACGCAGTGGACCGAGGTATCCTCTGTTGCCAATGGACGGGTTCGACGGTTTAGCCTTTGTCCGTAGCTTTCTTCCGTCGTTGCTGGTAGTTCCTTCTACCGTCGAGGGAGAGGACCGCAGCTTCCTCCACGATTAACGTACACTTTAGAAGCTTCCTCTGTCCACGATGTCGTCATCCAGAGCTTTCGTTGCTGTCGCTATCACTGTCCACAGCTTCAGCCACTGTCACAGTTGTCGTCTGCAACTTCCTCCGCTAGCGCGACTGTCATCCGCCGCTGCTGCTATCGTCTACAGCTTCCTCCGTCATCGTTGTCTTCTCCTTCCTCATTGTCAACCATTGGTGACACTTTTCTCCAACTTATTTTTTTCTCCCCCTCTGCTAGTGTTAACGATTTTTTTCTCCCCTCTAACTACTGTTAATAATAAGTAATATATTGTTAACAGTAGATTTTAAAACTAATGACAAGTGTACAAAGCAGTTTAATTCTAATATTGGTCTTCATAAGCATGTTTAACATATTTCTATTTAGTTGTATATTATTTTAATTATAATATTCAGGAGTGCCTCGTTTCGCTCGGGCGGGCGTCTAGTGTCTCGGGCGTTGTGGGACTTTGGCGGCTTTTGGCACCTAGCACTTTTTAAATCACTACTCTATACCAATATTATTTGTTGATTGTCTTGTTAAACTTAGTTTATAATATTTTTTACGTCAAAAATGAATTGAAATGTTTTTAAGAACCATTGTAAACCATATGCAAAGTATACATTTTAAGAACTTCTAAAAATGTATCAAGTAAATACATGGTACATATATTACAATTGAAAAACTTGTAAATATGTGAATTTATTATTAGTGTCTACTACTATCAAAAGGATCACTATGTTGTTGCTGGAGGTAGTTGGAGATCAATACTAGAATTTTGAAGAACCCATGAATGATACTGCTTCCATGAAATTTGATACCGATGTATCAAACTAGAATCATTGTTGAATCAAACTAGAAAGTCTTGGCATCTTGTTCATTAAATCTAACTTGGGTTGTAGCTGTTGTGTCGGTATAGTTGGATGAGTATGATTGCTAACGACTATTCATGAATAGTACAGAGTCATGCAATGATGGCGATTGAGATTTGAGAGTAGAATTGCCATCACAATAGTGGTGTTGTGAGCCATATGAAACCTCATATTGGCAATTTGGAATCAAGTATTGACATTGTAGTGGCCTACAAGATCCATATTGGTAAGAAGGTTGTGAGGTGAAGGACTCTTGTTTGATTCAATCGTAGTGGTCTTCCTTCTTCCTCCTCCCTCCTTTTCCTCCACCACCTCTGCTTCTTCCTTCCTGTTCTTCCTTTCTCTTCGTCCATTGCTGCCTCTTCTTCCTTTCTCCTCACTATCATCTGTTCCTTTCTCTTATCCTTCTTCTTCCTCTTTGAGTCTTCGTTACACATGTGTACCATATGCCAATATTGTCAGTCCAACTAGGGACTGTTACGGTAGTCGTTATGAGATGACAGTCTTTGGAATTAACGACAAATGATCTTAATTGTCAGATCTTACTTGTAATAGAACTAGGCCCAGTTTCTGCTTGTTCAATTTTACAACAATTTCAATATATTTCTTTTGTGATTTTATTGACTATTTGATTTTGTTGGGAGTCTTATAAAGGCCAAGCTTTTTCTTTTTTGTTTGATTTCTTTGATGTTACAAAAGGTATGTTAAGACATCTTGGTTTATGCAAACATACCAAGTTTCTTTATGTCCCATACGCATGTAATCAGATTGATTTTTGAAATAAATTTTCACTGTTGTTATTTCTTTGGATAATCAAGGAAGAAAATTTTATTAAGTATTCCTAGAAAGACATACATTGTTTCTTAATGTAGAATACCATAAATTAGTAAAGTGTATAATTACACCTGCTAATGTATCACTAGAGGCTGCTGGAAAAAGAAATCTAAGGATGTGAGGCTAAGTGACCAAGAAAATCTTGTTATCTTTATGCAAAAGAAAAAAAAAATCTAACTCTTTTTTCACAAAACAGATTGATTTTTGAAATAAAATTTCACAATTGTTATTTCTTTTGATGGTCAAGGAAGAAGATTTTATTGAGTGGACCTAGAAAGACATATGTTGTTTCTTGATCTAGAACACCACAAATTAATATAGTGTAAAATTACAGGCAGCTACTTATTGAATCACCAGAGGCAGTTGGAAAAAGAAACGACCAAGAAAATCTTGTTATCTTTTTACGAAAGAAGAAAAATTCACTGTTCTCTTCATTTATAATCAAAATTTGCAATACCGTCTGTTTCAGTATGATATGATACATGCGGTATTTACCAGTCAGGCAGGTTACCAGTGGTTCAAGTAAACCAGGGTAACTACGATGGAAGCTTGGTACCAGACCTTTACCGGTCTGACTGATACTTGGTACGTATCAAGAAAGGTTTTTTTTTTAAGTTTTTAGGATTTTTTTGTACATACCAATGCTTGGTATATGCTACCGTGGTCGAAGCTTTGATTGGTACAGTACCCTTACACGAAATTGCGGACCTTGTTGATAATCATCATTAGAACCCTAATCCTAGCTAAACTAGGACTATAAATAAGCAGCATCTGTGGTACAAGGCTTCCTTTATAGGAAATCTTGTAATCCCATAAAATCCCAAACAAAAGTACATTAGTATCTATCAAAATTCAATTTCTAATGACACACTGACTTTTCCAATTCAATCTTTATCTAAAATAAGATTATAGACAAATGTAAACTTAAAATAGAAGTGGATTTTCTAAAGATACTGTTAAAACAACCAAATCAATAATTGAAGCCTAGTTTAACATTGAGTTTGAATCTATTCACTTGTAGGGTTCAAATTCATGCCCTGTGATCCCATGGAGCCATTTGTAGACTCATCTTCATCTTGAATACGATCAGTTCTTAGATGAATTTGACTAGGATTCTTAGATCTATTGGTTCTATCAAATATCTTTTTTATCATCAAAGACATTTACATCAACATACCTAGTCATGCTCCTAACATGTTCATGATATCTAGTTCTTGCTGCCATGTTTTTTACATAGATGGATCTTAACAAATTGTCTTTTATTGCTCTGCTTTCATGAGAGTATATCTATGTGCATTATCTTTATTGGATCTTCTATAGTTATATACATTATGATTGTAAATGTTTCCATTAGGAACCATTCTAATAAACTATTTGATTGAATATATTTGAGCTGTTAAGCTTAGCTATTGTGTTCTGAAGAGACTGTTGATTCTGCGACTCCACTTACATTTTCACCGTTATTCTTCACCCTTTCCAGCCCAATGTTGGATTGCCTCTAATACAACAACGCAAGGTTGCCTGCTCTTTCAGAGATCAATCACTTTTCCAGATATTCCAAGTATCTATAACTTCATTGCATCAACTAAAAAGTGATGGAAATTTCCAAGGTTTTTTCTTTCTTTTTTGTCATTGTCATGCCCTGTTTAACTTTTTTGCTTGATATAATTTAATGGTATGTTTCTTAATTGTATGCTTCATCATCATACAGTCTCTGGTGTGCTGAAGGAACTTACTCTTTCACTTGCACTAAAGTGCTTATCTTTTGACTTTATTGGTACTTCAGTTGATGAAAGCTCTGAAGAGTTTGGTACTTTGCAGGTAATATCTTACATCATGAGAACACACACATATATGTTTTATCTTCTTGTGAGATTCTATCGCAACTGGTAGCTGATGCCTTTGCTACCTGGCAAGTAGTCATTAATATTCTTCTATTGCTGCAGATTCCATCTTCCTGGAAACCAGTAGTGCAAGATCCTTCTACCCTTCAGATTTTCTTCGATTACTACAGAATCATGGGGCCTCCTCTCTCGAAAGAGGTATTGCTAACAGTTCCCATCGAAACTAAATGAAATCTTTTAATTTGGTTTGCAGGTAATCATGCTTTATTCAACTATAACCTATATGGCCAGGCAACTTTTATTTGACATTCATCTATATCATGCCCTGCTATATATCTTTGTTTTTCTTAATTTTCTTTAAATTTTATCAATGCTAACCATGTCTTGAATTCTTGGACATAATTGTTCATTTGTGGTGTGGTGCAAATCAAACATTTGCAATTGACAATTTCATTGTTTCCTTCGACAAGTTCTTAATGGTTTTCTTTTGCTTTTTATTCCCTTCAGTTTTGCTCGAAATCCAATAATGTTTCAGTCAATGTTCAAAATTTCTTCCCTTCCCTGATGTTCCTGTGAGTTCGAGGGATGTCTACTTTTTAATAATGATGTTATGTGTCTGTTTATCTTTTATTATATAGCACCATTCCTATGTTTCTATGAGGATGGAGCCTTCCACATCTACTATGTCAGGAACCTTGTGCACTAGGCTTCATTTTTCCTTCCAAAACTTCTGTATTATCTCTTGTTTTCATTTATTTTTGCTTGAAAATTTGTTTTTTAAAACTTGATCTAATTTGGTATCTATCCTTTTCAGGCTTTGGAGTGTTTAGTTAGACTTGCATCTGTAAGGCGGTCCTTGTTCACGGATGATCCTGCCCGGTTCCAGTTTCTTGGTCATTTAATGAACGGGACAAAAGAGATTATACAGACCGGCGAAGGTTCACTATCATTTTGTTTATTGAAAGTGCAGTATACAGATTATTTTGTTTTATCCTTTCAAGATGTTATGTAAATTGTAGTTTTCCTTGGCTATGTTTTAAAATCCTAACCAAGTTGTTTAGTTGCACACTAGACTTAAATCATTGACTTGTGGAATAAATCATTGACTTGCGGAAGTCCAAAAGATTATGACATCCACACGAATCCTAGTGTCAGTTATGCATCTTGAAGGAGGATTGCATTTTGGATATATTGAAAAGCATGTGTGCTGTAAAGGATTATGATAGTTCTAATAGTTTTAATTATAGGAGTTAATAGGTGAAAACTGCACAGTATATATAGAAATTTGGTGAAACATGACTATTTATTGTCAAGGATTTTAACTTTGACTGGATTAGTTGGCATGGATCTATATTTACCAGTTTGATGGCCAATCAGTATGTGAAGCATGCAATTTTGCTTGGTCTGATTCTATCAAGTGCTTACCATATTGGGTATCTAGCTAGGCAAATATACCAATACCCCTGGTAAATATACAGGTAATGTTCTCCTGTATGCACTTCTCTCACCCTCCCTCTATGCATAGACGTGCCTAGCTTTTGAACTCCATGGCCTGATTGGTCTAGTACGTGCAGGAGTATTGAGACATGGTACACCAGCACACATTGTGACACAGGTTTTGACTGGTTTTGATTGACCACAACTCTAAAGATCCTTGATTAAGGTTTTTTCCCCCACCTTTTCTTGATAAATACAATCAAGATCCATAAAGTTGAAGTAATTTCAATCTAGAAAATAACAAGTATTGTATGAACTATGAAGACATATTTAATAAAAGGATCACAGGTTATTTTCAAAGAATACATTGTATATACAAACAAGTTATGTCTTCTAAGCAATTAAGCATAATAAGATTGTATACATGCTTCTTTTTTTATTGTTAAAACAATCCTCATGGTTTCATGGGATTGGGTTGGGCATCACAGGTTGTTTCTGAAGAATACATTGTATGCACAAACAAGTTATATCTTGTAAACAATTAAGCATAACAAATTTGAAGGATAATAAGGTCCTATACATGCTCCTATCATCAAAATAATCATCATGATTCCATGAGATTAAATCGGGATCCTCGATGTGACTCCATTGTAGATCGATACAGTATGTCTGCAGGACCTATGAATGAAACTACTCTTAAAGCATCTTATACTGATAAACAGTGTGCCACTAATGCAATAATATGATACCAGTTGTTGACTCATTGTAATGTATCACCTGTGCGATAGGAGGTACCTAGGTCAAGAAGGGCCATGACAACTACGAACAAGTATGTAGTTTACTAAAGCTGTGGCTCTTGTCAATATACCATGGTTGTATGCTACAAGCGGTATCTGAGTTTTAAAAAATGACTAACTACCTTGTATCTATTGGTCATAAAATCCAGGATAGTAAGAAGGTTAAGAATGCAAGAAACTACTATCTGGCTCTGTATCGTGTTGGTTGTCTCATGTCCTCGTATGGATTAACAGTGGTAGCCTGAATCGGGTGGGTCTTGGGTGGCGAGAAGGAATGAGTGAGAAGGAAAGAAGGGAAAGAGGTTGAACAACCCTCTTTATGAAGTCGAGGTCCCAATTGGTCTTGACTGAAGTCCTCCAGCATTGGCATATTGCTCGGCACAAGCCCGATGATAGGCCTGAATCAGGCGGTAAACTGAGTTTATTGGGAGGTAAGCCATACACAATGTGCAGACCACTAGAAATTAGACAGTCCATGTTCTAATCCATGGGGAACCACTATATACTGGGTGATACATGCCGGTCCGTGTGGCTTGTATCTGCACACTTTATCTTTGCAGCCAAAAGAAAGGTAGCAATAGAGAAAGGTAATATTGCAGTAGTGCTCTATCCTCTCTCTCTCTCTCTCTCTCTCCTCCCT